CCCTGGTTATATTAGTCTCCAGCCAGTGAGCTCGCATTTTAAATGTTTTTAGAACTGGCTCGTCAAGACTCCTTTGTTGCTCTACGTACTTAGTGTGGAGGTTTCAGGACACTTTGAAGCCAAGATATCAAAATTAAATACCTTTAATCGTTTCTGATGTTGACGTAGAAAAACGAGCAACGAAAGCTCAATCTTGCTGATGAAGAAGAACCTGAAGGAAGACACCAAGTATGCGACTAGAGCTAGCAAACTGATTTTTAATAATATTTTACCAAAAAATTACTTGGAAATTGAAAAATTGCTGTTAGAGTAAATGCTCCTACATACGCGGGCGTACTGTGCGTACTCCGTGAGCCGCACGGACACTGCGCACACTGTCCACAGATGGTTGAGCTTCATACTCGAGCGTACACCCTGATGGGCTGCAGCCCAGCTCTGCAGGCTAGGGGCGTTTAACTTCAGGACACATTGAGGTCGCTGATTGGTCATTTGCTGACACGCCTACTGGATTAATTAACAGGTAAAAAAAAAAAAACGAGTGCTGGCAGCAAGCGGCAGCGGTGTTCTGTGTTTATATGTTGTTAATAAAAATTTAAAAAATAAAATAAATCCAGGGAGCGCTGGCCCTGCAGCCCACACATCAGACCAGCCCATCAGGAACTCTCCCACAACCACGCCAGGCCTGATTTTAATTCTCTCGTGACAAATTCCTTCATTTCTCACAACTTCAGTCATCGCGTCAACGGACGAGGAGGAAGAGATCGCTTGCCTCTTGGAAAACAAAAAACTAAATAAAAGGCCATTAAACCAGACCACGGATGAAGAAGGGGAATTTAATACATTGGTGTCACATACAAAACAGTCCATCGCCGGGCAGTTTATTGTGCGACACTGAGTACGCGTACACGGTCGTAAAAATTGATGTTTGCGCAGACATGGCTTTAATGCGAACGTCTGCTTCGAGACCACATTGTGCCCACCTCGGGTATGTGTGGACCTCTGAGGAGTGAAGTGCGCCCGAGTATGTGGGGGCCTTAAGGCAAAATGTTGAGGCATTTAAAAAATATGTATTTTTCCCCTTTCATCAATAAATTGTGTCTCTTCTGAATATTTTCTACGTCATGGAAATAGGTGACTCAAAGTGGATGATCATGTAATTTATTGTGTTTGCTCGACCAAATGCCTGTCTGTAAGAAAAATATCTCGCGAGACTTGGTTTTAAACTATTTTGAGCTTCCATACGGTGTGGTGGTAGCTGAGACTCATCTCTAGTTTACACTGAGCAATAACCGATCAGACAAGGTTAGCTTTTAAAACTTGGCATCAACTATTGGCATCAACGCTGACAGTCTGTTAGCAAAATATCTCAGAGAGTCATCAATGGATGTGCATTTACAACTCATTAACTTCAGGAGTCTGCTTCATTCAAGATGGCCACCACAGCTACTCAACTTTTGTAAACAAAACAAAAAAAAACATAACTACAACTTCCAAGTTCACCATTTTTACAGATGTGAAGTTAAGATTTGATGTGGTAGTAGCTGGAACTCATCCCTAACACATACTCTGAGCACTAACTGATCGTCTTTGTTTAAAACCTGATCCTGCGAGTCGTTAGGCGATGTGCAGCCCTTCAAACAACACCACATTCATATTCCTTTATAAATCATCACACACGTGTTATGTCAGCTCCAGTGTTTGACATCAGCCGTTTTAACCCTTATCATATCATATATTATAACATATCATATCATATTATAACATATTATAACACATCATATTATATCGTATCATATCATATTATATATACCATATTGTTATAACATGTTATAACACTTTATTCTGCTGTCAGGCCTCCTAAACTGACTCCTGTATGACACATGTTAATTTCAATTCAATTCAATTCAATTTATTTATAAAGCATCAAGTCACAACAGAAGTTATCTCAGGACACTGAACAGAAACATTCATTTATAAAAGTAATAATTTAACATTATTTATCTGAGGAGCAGACTGCTTTGAGTTTAACTCCATCACAGACTCTCATCTTGAGGAAGCATGAAGGCGACAGTGGAACGGAAAAACTCCCTCATGAGGAAGAAACATTTAGCAGAACCAGGTCAGGACAAGCGGCCATCTGCTTCGACCGGTTGGGTTTGAGAGGAACAGGAAGGAGGAATAGATACACAATGGCAGGTCAAGAATCATATGTTAAGATAGAAATAGTATCAAATGAAAACTATTCAATTTTAATGATTCATTTAAGGAAATTAGGTCAATTTATCCTCTAGTAGACTAAGCTTAAGGCAGCGTAACAATCTGACCCTAACTATAGGATTTATCAAAAAGGAAAATCTTAATTCCAGTTTTCAAACTGGACAATGTGTCAGCCTCATGGACGGAAACTGGAAGTTGGTTCCACAAGAGAGGAGCCTGATAACTGGAAGATCTTCCTCCCATTCTGCTTTTGGAAACTCTAGGAACCACAAGTAAACCTGCAGTCTGAGAGCGAAGTGCTCTGTTAGGAAAATATGGAACAATAAGATCTGTAATATAAGATGGAGCTAGGTTGTTGAGGGCTTTGTAGGTTAGGAATAAGATTTTGAATTTAATTCTGGACTTGACAGGGAGCCAATGGAGAGAAGCTAAAACTGGAGAGAGATGATCTCTCCCACTAACTCCAGTTAAGACTCTGGCAGCAACATTTTGGATCAACTGAAGACATTTTAAAATAAGTTTGTGGACGCCCAGATAACAATAGATATTAGAGCAATTTAAATGATTCGAGAAAAAGATATCTGCTGAACATCAACATAAAGATACAGCATGCACCGACAGCAGTGACTGGCTGAGGGCCAGAAGGAGGTGAAAAAGGAAGTAAGACAGAAAGGAAGGAGCTGAATGAAAGGATGAAGTGATGAATGGGGAACGAGGCAAAGATGGAAGGAAGTGGGGGAACCAGAGAGAGAGAGGAGAGATTAGATGATTCTGTAATCCTGCAGGGAGACGGGCAGGGAGCTATCCACTCGTCATGGCCCCCATGCTGCTCTGTGGGGCTGCACGGTGGGCGTCTATAGGAAAATGAAATTATTTTCAATGTAATCCAGAGATGCAACAAGTTTAAAGATAGGGACCCTGCTGACTGTTCCCGCCTGGGGCTCACAGCGATCAGAGCTGACGCTGAACCAGGCGTGCTGCCTGTTTGGCTCGTTGTGCAGGACGCTGGCCCTCTCGTTTGTAGCACGTTTGTTTGGAGGCGTGCTAATTAAAGGGGCTTGTTTAACAGCTCATTCCAGAGAGGTAACTGGAACACAGTTAAAGTCAAGTCAGATTTATTAAAGCCACATGGTGTAATGATGCCATTTATACTGTGGAGATGGTAAAGGCAGCTCTGACTGCTCGGGTAATAAACCCATTTTTTGAACTGAGGCCGGGCTGAACCGGGGCTCTAACATCTCGGCTGATCCAGGCTGACAGCCCGGCTGCTCAGTTCTGGGCCTCGTCGTGTCCTTTGTTTAACTCAAAGCTCTTGAAATCAGAACCGTTTCTAAAATCATGGCTGCTGTTCATTAGTCGCTGAGCTTGGCATTTACTCTGCACACTTTGTGCACCTTTCCCCCACTAACATCACATGCTACTCTTTTCATTCAAACCCACACAATTCAGTCCCCTGACATGGTTTCACTGGGTGTGTGTGTGTGTGTGTGTGTGTGTGGAGGGGGGGGGGGGGGGGCTGGACATACTTTTCCTTTGCTTGGATGAGGAGGAGCATCCTCTGTCTCACCTGTCCACCATTATCTTTGGATTTATTTATTTGTGGCGTGAAGCCTAAAATGATTCTCTGCAGGTCTGGTCGTTAATAAAGTCTTTGAGGGTGAAATTTTAACAGCCTTCAAGCGAAACACTCAAATGCCTCCACAGCCAATCAGAGCACGCGCCCAATCAGCGGTTTCCTCTGTGCTGTGGAGTGATGATCAGAGGAGACGAGTTCAGGCCGCTTCAGAAATGTCGCCTTGTGTCTGCACCCCGGACAGACAGACAGGCAGGCAGGCAGACAGACAGACAGGCAGGCAGACAGTCTGTATCCCTGCTCAGGTAAAGAACCTGCTCTGTGCGCCCCCGCCTGCTCTGCTGCACAGGTCTCCATCCTGACACTTCTCTTTGTTTCAAACTGCCTGAGCCGGAGCGCGTCGCTGCCGCCTCACATTCTGGAGCTATTGTGTCTTATTTGGGGGCTGGATTCGTGCACGCTGACGGGCGCACATCAGCCACCTCTCTGGCCGGGAGCCTGCTTCCCTCTGCATTTCTCTGAAACAAGAAGCTGGAGGGAGATGGGGGGCGGGTGTGTGTGTGTGTGGGGGGGGGGGGGAAGAATCCCTAAAATCATGCGTAAAACTTCACAGGGACATCCAGCGCTTTAAATTCCTGCTGATATAAAAAAAAACATTCAGCTCTGTTGTGTGCGCGCGCAAAGCGTTGAAATGTGTGTGTGATATAAACAGCAGGTCCATTTTCTGAGAGGTCCGGCTGCATTAACCGGTCACACTGAGCCTCATTCCTTCTCCATGTCCCCCCCCCCCCCCCCCAAAAAAAATAAATAAATAAAAAATTAACCCCCACACCGGCTGCAGAAGCCGAGCAGCACGGCTCTGGCCGGCCGCGCCGTCAGGGGACGTGCCGGGTCATCCGCATCCATCCATCCACCTCCAGCATTCCTCCAGATCCCTGCTGCTCCGCACGCTGCTGAAGGCGCGCGCGCGGGGGAACCGGAGCGCACAGAAAGCCCCCCATCACCGAAACCACCCGCTGTACCGGGGAACTTTTCTCCTGCCTCCCCCTGACATCCCCTCAGTGCTCTGCTCCCTGCCCTCCATGTCCAGACGCGCTGATGGTCATGATGCTGCTGAATTATCAGGGAATCTCACGCGCCTCAGATCACGCCGACAGCATGCACAAACACGGAGAGAAGCGCGAGCGCCGAGCAGGCGCGCTGTACTCACGATTTGAGAGGGTTCTGCACCGCTGTGGCCATTTTGATGTAGTATGACAGGCTGCAACACCGCAGAGCCCGGTGTTGTACATGGAATGTAGCAGCTATTTCAATTTCATTCATTCTCAGGGGCTGCGGCTGCAGCGAGCAGCCAATGGGAGGCGGGAGCGCGCCGTGACCGCGCGGCGCTCAGGGGAAGTGTAGTCTTTTAGCGCGTGTCTGCAGGAAACTCACAGAGGCTGCGCGGACTACAAGATGGGGGGGGGGGGGGGGGACCCACGGGGCCCCCTCGGACAGGGGGGGGGCAAAGATGCACCGCCAGGCTAAAAGGTAAAATTAGGGGAACCCTTGCCAAAAGCTGTGACTGAAACAGGCTAAAAGCTAATATCAGCAAACCATAAAATGCTAAAATCATCAATGTTGTTAATAAGGGAACCAAAAATGTAGCACAAGCTAAAATTAGCAAAACGGTATTAAAAAAAAAAACTAAAATTAGTTTGCTAGAGGATGGATGGAGAAATACTCAGACAAACCTTTGCCAAATGCTACTTAACAAAAAGTGTAGCTAAAAGCTAAAAATAGTGAGGCACTATAGTTCAAAAGAAGCAAAACATAAGTTAACATTAGCAAACTAAAGCTAAAATAAAAATCAGTCACTTATGTCAGCAAAACTTCAGCTGAAAGGTCAAATGAGCAAAACGTTTACTAAAAGCTACAGCTAGAAAAGGTGTAGCTAAAGGCTAAACTTAGCAAACACTAACTAAAAACTCAAATTAGTTTGCTACAGCTAGAGGAAGGATGGATGGTGCTACAGCAGGGCTATTCAACTGGCGGCCCGGGGGCCAAATCAGGCCAACGGGTGAGCTCAGTTCGGACCACCAATTAATGGGTTCATTTTTAAATAAACTGGATTTTAAACCATAAAACAAACTTACTTAAAGACAATAACTGCTGGATATCTGGCCCCTGAGCAGTTTACTAGCCCTGAGCTACAGTATTCAGACAAACCTTTGCCAAATACTACTTAATGAAAATGTAGCTACAAGCTAACACAAAACAAAACAGTTGTTAAGTTAAAATATAGAGACCAGAAGGTAGAGCAGGCAAAACAGTAGCTCAAAATATATCAAAACAATTGCTAAAAGCTAATATAAAATAAAATAAAAAAAAAACACCTGTCAGCAAAACTGTAGCTAAAAAGTAAAATGAACAAAACGGCTACTAAAAGCTACATTTAGAAAAAGTGTAGCTAATAGGTAGGCTAACTAGGCCAAACATTAAAATAATTAAAACCCTGACTAAAAGCCAGGACTATCAAAACAGTAGCTAAATGATAAAATAATAATAATAATAATACTGCTGCTAAAATCTAAAGTTGTTAAAAACATAAAGCTAAAATTTGCAAAAACAGAAGCTACGGACTAAAATGAGCTAAATACAGCTATGAACAACTTTCAGTTAAACATTTAAGCTGCTAAGCAAAATTGTGTTTAAAAGCTACAATTAGAAAACTGTTAAGTTAAATCATGCAGACATCAAAATAGTCGCTCAAAACAAGAATTAGCAAAATCATGAAAGGCTAAATGTAGCACTATGTAGCCGCAAGCTACAACTGGAAAAATCCCGTCTTAAAGCTAAAACTATGAGAGAGTAGCTAAAAACGAAAAGGAGCAAATAAAGACAAAAATAGAGCAAGAGGATTTCACAAAACTCATCCTGAAGGACTGGAAATGATCCTAGTCCAAGAAGTCTTTATTTTTGTAACTAAAGTTAAATAATAATAATTAAAAAGTAGATTTTATTTTGGCTGCTCTTCAGCACAGAGTCAAACTCACAGATGAGATTTGTCAATTGTTTCCTGCTGACGCTACTGCGCAACCTGGGCTTGAACACTCGACCTCAGGATTGCGAGACCTCAGCACTGACCACCAAGCTACTGCGCTCCTAAAACTCTAAACGTTACAAACATTAAAAGTCGTAGCATTACTGTTCCCAGTGGGTTTGATCTGGGAATGCTGAAAGCAGCAGAAGTGTTGTGCAGTTTTGCATCAATGAGTTTCAGACTGAGCTGCATGTGACCAGAACTTCTCTCGTTATATAAAGACACCAGAGACCCTCGGGAAGGAGGGCAGGGAGTGTGATTTGTGTGTGAGTTGGGCTCACACAAACTGACATAGTCCCTATGGAGAACCTATTTGTCTTTAATAAAATAATATTCAGCTTCTTTCTGTTTTACTTCAACTTGATCAAAACAATTCATTTAAATTTCAATTCAGTTTATTTCTAAAGCATCAAGTCACAACAGAAGTCATCTCAGGACACAGAACAGAAACATTCATATATAAACATTCAATTAGTAACATTATCTAAGGTAGGCTAGCCTGCTGTTTGTGTTGAGTCTTCATTCAGTCTCCCATCCTGAGCGAGCGCAAAGGCGACAGTGGAAAGAAAAACTCCTTCATAACAGGAAGAATCCTCCAGCACAACCAGGCTCGGGACAAGCGGCCATCTGCGTCGACCTGCTGGGTTTGAGAGGAACAGATACACAATGGCAGGTCCAGAATGGAGGTGAGCAGGTCCCTCGCTAGGAGGAAAGACAACACAATAAAAATAAAACACATGTTGGTATAGAAATAATTACAAATACAAACTGTATGTATTTGTAATTATTAATTTGATGAAATGTGGTCAATTTGTCCTCCAGTAGTCTAAGCCTATAGCAGCATAGGATAAGGTCTAGGACAGAAAACCCAAGCCAACACTAACTATAGGATTTATCAACAAGGAAAGTGTTAATCCCAGTCTTCAAACTGGACAATGTGTCAGCCTCACGGACAGAAACTGGAAGTTGGTTCCACAAGAGAGGAGCTTGATAACTGGAAGATCTGCCTCCCATTCTGCTTTTGCAAACTCTAGGAACCACAAGTAAACCTGCAGTCTGAGAGCAAAGCGCTCTGTTAGGAAAATATGGAACAATAAGATCTGTAATTTAAGATGGAGCTAGGTTGTTGAGGGCTTTGTAGGTTAGAAGTAAGAGTTTGAATTCAGTTCTGGATTTGACAGGGAGCTAGTGGAGAGAAGCTAAAACTGGAGAGAGATGATCTCTCCTGCTACTGTAACTTTCATAACAAGTTGTGTTTCCCTCTTCACCACGTTTTTCTTGTTCGATCACCTGAGAAAATGTTGACAGTGTTCCACAGTCACACAGAAAATGTGAAAACCGTGATTTCCTCATGTAACGTTTGTGTTTGTGGGCAACAAAACTGGATTAGTTGCGTAACTGAACCGCTTCGGGTCATTTCTGCAAACTTGCGTGTTCATTTGAGCTAAAACTGATCAGACTTGGGCAGCATTAACAAATCCTCAACTCCCTGAAACTATTTCAAGTTGACATAAAATAACAGTTCAGTTAGGCCTGAAATTAACTATGTTTTATCTTTAAGATGTTTCTCCTTATTCATTTTGTTTTATTGGATAACAAACACGTTTTTGCAGTGTGAGTGCCGGCATGTGGCCTATCAGATGAAAGCTGAGCTTAAATTATTAATTAATCAGGAGGAATGCTTTGGGAGTGCATGGGCCTATAATTGATTCTTTCAGACATTTGTCTCCAATTGCTGAACCCTAACAAAGAAAAGGACCTCTTATACCGCTCCATTGTTTCTTCAGTTTCCTCCACTCGTATTCTAGCCTGTTGCTGCTTCACAGGAAACAAGGACAGAAGGGAGGACATATAGAGACAACTCATCCAGGACTCTGTGAAGCTGGAGTTTATTTCTCTCTGTCGTGTTAGCAGCAGGGGTGCCTCTCTGAAGCCGTTCAGTGACATGTGATATTTATAGATCTGAGCTAACAAATATTTAATGAACATTAGCGAGCAGCTCCAACATGGCAACACTGCTCCGGTAAAACACTTTGACAGATAAGTTGGACATGTTGATTTTGTATGTATTGATTGATGCTTTTTTTTTTAATGTAAGCAGATGACATCAAGACGTCAACACACATTTAAAAGCACTGAGGTCAACCAGCCAGTGTGTTCAAAGTGATCAAGCTTTTGTCTTTTCTAAAATCTGTGAAACGCTGCTTAAAATTCTGAAAAACTCAAACCTCTGCTAAAATTTAGGAGCAGGCATAAAACTTTAATATATTTTGTCTTGTTCTGTTTCTAATATACTAACTGTTATTTGACTCCTTTTTCATTTTATTTTAGATTTTATTGGTCCAGTTGAATCGTATTGTCTTGTTTGATTGATTGTGAAGCAATTATGGTTTATAATTTAGTAGTTTTTAAACCTATGAAATAATTAGAATATTCATCCTAATTTATAGCTTACGTACTTCTTAAAAGAAACATACAGAATTAGTTACATTATTTGCATAATAAATGTACATTTAAAAAAATCAACTGCATGCTTTTTATGAATGACAGAAGTAACCTGTTATACTATATTTTGACCACACGGTGGCGATAATGCACCGCGCACCGACATAAACAAAACGTCTTGACGTCACGGACGTGCGTTTTCCTTGGCTCCTCCTGGGGGCGTCAGCGGCATGCGCGTTGTTGTTGTGATTGACAGGAGTCATGTTGAACTTTCGTTTTGTTTCCTGCTGTCATAAATATGTCTTAAAGATTAGAGCACGATGTCAGAAATCCTGATGATGGAGATGGAAAGTGTGACTGTCGGCTCCGTGAAGCCGGAGGAGCGCGTGCAGGACACCCGGAGCTTTCTGCTCGTGGACGAACAGGAAAACCTGCAGGTAAAGTAGTTTAACCGAGCTAATGTTTGCTAACAGTTAGCTGCAGTGCTAATGGAGCTGAAACTCCCCCTGAAGGCCACAAAACAGAGAGCAGCTTCTAATAAACAAGTATGGAGCATTAGTATCGGTTTCAGAACAATGTACTGATACAAAGCGAGGGGATGTCGGTTTGAAATATACAAAAAAAGACAAAACAATCAGCTTAGGGCCCTGTGTTTATTTCAATTCATGCTTCATAGAGCTTCACAAACAAACCGCATCTGTCTGAAGGAGGCCGAGCTGTGTTGTTTTGAGTTGTCATCGGAGAAAGTCCCGGATGAGTCATTAGCTCAGCTGAGCCAGGAGGCACCTTTTGTTGCTCCAGGTGAACCAAGTGCTGACTCTAAACTTATCACCCTGTCGTGTGTGTTAGTGTCCTCAAAGTATTAATCATTGCTGATTAATTTATCTTTAGTTCTCTAGTGAATGCAGGTATGAATCTCGCAGATTTTAAACTTTTATTATAATGTAGCGCAATCCAGAAACATTTGGATGTGGTCACTTATTTACAATGGATATATATCCCATCTTTTATAAACATAGATGTGTCCATCCATCCATTATCTTTACCCGCTTCTTCCTTTTCGGGTTGTGGGGGTCACTGGTGCCCATGTCCAGCAGTCACTATGCCAGAGGTGGGGGACACCCTGGACATGTCTCCAGTCCATCACAGGGACACATAGAGACAAACAACCATTCTCACTCACACCTACAGACCAACCAGCCTAACACAACACCAAAAGATTTAAAATACTTTGGCAGTAGGAAAGACCTAAGAGGGCTACTAGTTCAGTTTTGGATCACACATTAAGTTGTTTGCAGAGCTGTTGTAAAAGTTTAGGATTAAATTACAGATTATTTCCATCCATCGTCTTTACCCACTTCTTTCTTTCTGGGTCACGGAGGTCACAGACTATATCACCGTGGTGTTCTGATTCTTTTTTCGATTATTTCATGTGTGTGTTTTTCTGTATAATTAGAACATGCTACTGGATGCCTCAAATTTCCCCCTGATTTTAATAAAGTATCAATCAATCAACACCTCATTATGGCATAACCCATCTTTACCCTCTGCTTTTTTAGATGGAATATCTTATAGATGGGAAAAAGCAGAAATACATAGTATAGGACGTCTCTGTAAAGATGGTGTGTTCAAAGCATTTTCTAGCACTAGAGTACAATTTAAACTTTCCCTACTAAGTTTTTTTTTTTTCATTCAACCTTTATTTATACAGGTTGGTCTCATTGAGCCACGTGGACTCATTGACAAGAGAGACCTGATTTAAACAAAGAGCAGAAGAGGAGCCAACAATAATAGACAGTCGTATAAAAAGCACATAAAATGAAAAGTAAACAGAGGAAATGAAATAAAAACTAAACAAAAAAACATCTACATTGTAAAGCGGTGTAAAATATTAAAGACGGCAACATGTCTGCATTGTTATTTTTTGTTTATTGTATAAAAATATATTCAGCTGAAAACCTGGGTAAAGGACAAAATTAGAAAATCTTTCTCAAAACCATCACCTGAAAGCTTGTTAGAAAGAGAAATTTAAAAGATGATTTCTCCTAAAAGATTATATCTAAAATGTATGTACTGATAAACAAACACTGTAGATAGGAACATCAAACTAATAATGAAAAATGGGGAAAAGATTTTTGGCAAAATTTACACAATACAGAGAAAAAATCCTCACAGATCCACAAACCATTCTTACAAATACAAGATGCAGACTTATTCAATTAAATCTGTTTAACCGTACTTACTATTCTCCTAAAATAACTCCCGTCAGCTTTACCCAACGCAGCCTAGATGCTATAGATGTAATGAAGATGGAGCAGATTTATATCATGCTGTAATAAACTGAAGAAGTATTGGGGCTCAATATTCCTACAACTGGGTAAATTATTCCAGAAACAAATCACGAGTGACCCAAGTGTTGCTTTGCTGTGGGACACAGAAATATGATCTGTTCTAAACCATCAACAGAAGCTAGCTCTTCTTACAATGACGGCAGCAAAAAATTATCTTGAGGTTATGGAAAAACCCAGAACCCCCGACACCGCAACACTGGTGGAATGAGTCATCATGGTGTCCATCAGAAACAAAATATGGATTGTGTCAAAGGCAAACCAGAGGCTTTTTAAGTTATTATTCTGGGATGTCATCATAAATGGAGTATACTGGATCCAGCCAGTATCTTTACCCACTTCTTCCTTTTTGGGTCATGAGGGTCACTGGTGCTCATATCCAGTCATCGCTGTACGAGAGGCGGGGGACACCCTGGACAGGTCACAAGTCCATCACAGGAGTATACCAGATATGAAAAGTCATTTTTTTTGCATATATAATCATATGAAAGTAAATATTTTTGTAGGAGACCAGTTGTTTTTCTTTGATTAGGGGCTTTTAGGAAGGAGGGTTTGGACGGCATGTAACATGAATTTTGTAACTTATGTTGTATATGAGTAAATAAATAAAAATTTTCTGTAATTTCTGGGATGAAAGTGAGGAAACCCAAGTATAACACTAACACCAGCTCTTTGTTTTGTTTCTCAAGGTTTCTGGTGTCTAAAAATATCCTGCTCATCCAGACTTGTATCTAATCACAAGCAAATGATCGGCTGCGCAGACTCAGCTCTCTGTTTTATCTGCTCTCTGCTCCAGGTCCACAACGAGGCAGACTTTTTGGAAAGACTTGGCTGTGCAGATGTTGCAGGGGTCAAGGTCCTCTCCATCTTTGGCAACACCGGAGATGGCAAGTCCCACACGCTAAACCACATCCTGTTTGACGGCGAGAGTGTGTTTTATACTTCCAAGTCTCCCAGCTCCTGCACGGTGGGAGTGTGGGCCGCCTATAATCCCTCTCTCAGCCTGATTGCCCTGGATACAGAAGGCCTGCTGGGAGCAGCAGCCAATCAGAACCAGAGAATGCGTCTGCTGTTGAAGGTATGTTGTTTGCGGGCAGGTTGGGTTGGTTGCCTTAGATCGATAACGTAATCTGTTACTGCCTGAGGTAAGATGTAGTTGTTCATTTTTCCTCTTTTTGATGAAAACTGGATGTATGTACTCTGCAAACTCATCTGTAGACCACACTCTCAGGGGAGCATACAGGTACAGGGGCAAACACTTTTGGTATTTTTAATTAGAGTTATGTTAGAGTTCAGCCTTTTTCTACTTTTTGGTATACAGTAGTCCCTCGCTACTTCGCGGCTCGTTTATCACGTACTCACTCTATCGTGGTTTTTCAAAATAAGATTGGACATGACACACAATTGGCTGATTGATGGATGAGCAGCACGATCGGCGTGGAATTTTAATTTAGATTAAATTTATTTAAATTTATTTACCTGCTGCACCTTCGTGCAGCCCATACTGCAGGATCAACTTCCTGCTGCAGCTGATCAGCTGTTCTCTGTGCAGAGCGGAGAAGTGGGCGTGGCCAAGAGTGCTTGCCGGTGGTAAAGAGCAGAGGAGGCAGAGAGCTGAAATCATGACATGCTGTGCTCTTTTAGAGCGTTTAGAGTTTAGAAACACTGTTTAGAATATTGCAAGAGTGTGGGAAGGGTTTAAAACACCTTGTCTATATATATATATATATATATATATATATATATATATACAATACAATCGCACAGTTTTGTTTATTATTGTCATATATGCAAACTGAATACTTTGTTCTTTTCAATAAATTTTGTTTCTTTTCTATAAACTGTGTGCAATTTCTTCTGTTGTTATTCACATCTAGGCTCCCATGAATCCAGAGTCCTCTGATCAGGCCCAACATTTCCTCCTAGGTGTTTAGTATTGGTAATGGTGGTTTTAGTAATTTAATTTTGCCATATCAGCGAACTAATAAAAGGAGTACAGTACTTGAAGGAACGTGGGTTAAACAAAAAGGTCCAACAAGAAGTCCTGTCAGATTTTCATGTGTTTGTTGTTTCCTCTGCTCCTTCAGTCTCGTGTCCACAAACGTTTTGTCTCCTGTTCTTGTCAGGTTCTGGCGGTGTCTGATATTGTGGTGTATCGCACTCGGGCTGAGCGCCTCCACAACGACATGTTCCAGTTCCTGAGCAGTGCGTCCAGGGCTTACCTGAAGCATTTCACCCGGGAGCTGAAAGCCCTGTCCACCCGCTGTGGACTGGACGTGCCTCTGTCCTGTCTCGGGCCCTCCGTCATCGTCTTCCAGGAGACGACGCACACCCAGCTGCTGGGCCACGGTACAAGAGAGGCAGTGGCCTGTGGGAACATGAGACATGAAGCTCCTAGCATCGTGTTTGGAGAAGTTTTTATTTTTTCAATTAACATTTATTTTTAATTATTGCTCTCTGCCAATTAACAAAGACTGACAATAATGTTTTTTTTTTGTGTGTGTGTTCATGTACCTGTCTGTTAGTAAAATGTATAATTTACCATTGGCCAAATTTGTAATTCGTTAGAGGAACATTTACAACTCGTTAACTTTAGGAGTCAACCTGATTCATGATGGCTACCACGGCCTACTGGTCTTCAAAAGTCCAGAAATGGTCATAACTCGGTGTATTACGCAGGTATTGAGCTAAACTGGTGTGGTAGTAGCTGAGACTGATCCTCAAGCCGTATTCTGAGTGATAACGTTGCGCAAGATCTTTGCCTTTTACTATTTGGAGTCAACTTTGACTGTTAGTAAAATATCTCATGAAATGCTGGACAGATTTTAATAAAACTTGCAGGAAATAATCATTCGATATATCTCTAAAACTATTTCACTTTTGAAGCCAACCCAATTCAGAATGGCTGCCACAGCCAACCGAACTGAAAAATCAGAAAGAATGTCTTTAATCGGTCAGTTTTACAGATACTGGAGTAAAACTTGGTGTGGAAGTAGCTGAGAGTCATTCGCAGCGTGTACTCTGAGCATGACGTCGGTTGTAAGATTGATGATCTCTGGTGTAGACTCCAAGGTGGCCGGCTCTGCCGACACGCTGCTCCAGAAGCGTTTTCATGACCTGGGTTTGGGGACGGAGGCCTTCAGCTCGGTCCAGTACGTCGGCACCCAGACCATCACCCCCCCCACAGACTACAGCCGGCTGCTGGAGGCCGTCAGGCAGCAAGTGAAGAACACTCACACGCGCTCCCCACGCCAGCCGGGGATCGTATTTCGTGCACTGGAAGTAAGTTACGGAGCTTTAACAGCTGACTGAAAAAAGAGCAAGTCTTTGTTTTAATTAGTCTTCAGGGGGGTTCCACCTCTCATCGTGCTTTTAGTCCTCATCTGGTTTATGTTGGCTTTCATTTTTATTTCTCCCAGGCTCTAAGCGAGCGTTTCTGCGGGGAACTATCTGACGACAGGATGACTCTGTTCTCCTTCTTCCCTGATGAGTACTTCACTTGTTCCTCTGTGTGCCTCAGCTGCAAGTAAGTCTCGTGGATCAAAGAGCGCACACTTTCCTACTAGAAAGAGAAAAGTGTGCGTGCACAGAAATATCCATATTTATCAAACGGTGCACACGCATGTTTCTGCGCTCCTTTCCTTCTTACATCCAGATACATGTGGAGCGTGAGACACCTCCCCGCATGTGCCTGCATTTAAATATGTAAAATAGATGCAAATATGTTGTACATGTGTGATCCTCGTCTCTGCTCCTTCAGAATTAGGTGTAGATGCAGCAAAATAAGGAAATGAATGGAATGTGAATCTGAGACGCTGGTAAAAAAGGAGTGGGGTGTTCAACAGGTGTTTGCCAAACGCGTGCATAGAGGAGTGTGTGTTCAGATAACTGAACCGGTTGTGCTGATCTGCTAGCTGAACAAGTCTGAAGTATTTCCATCTTTACGCATGTGTTTAAAAACATAATGACTGGAAACACACAGACGCTCCGGAGCTCGATGGGACGTAGAAGCTTATTCTTTCAATGGTTGTGCATAAACAGCGTTTCAGTCACGGTGTGGAGAAATATTAAACAGTAGTCCCTCGCTACTTCGCGGTTTGACTTTCGTGGACTCTCCTCTATCAATATTTTTCAAAATAAGATTGGCCATGACACACAATTGGCTGATTGATGGATGAACCACGCTGGTAGGAGGCAGAGAGCTGAGTTTGTGACATGCTGTGCTCTTTTAGAGCGTTTAGACTTTAGAAACATTGTTGTCTAAACAAATATATATAAATAAATTAAAATAAACTAGCACTTGTACTACTATTCCTACTTTGCAGTTTTTCACTTAACGCCGGGGCGGGGGGGGCAGGATACGGAAATGTTCATGATAAATGAGGGACTACTGTATATGTGGGCGTGATATGGATGAGGTCGTCCCGTACAGCTGGCATGGCACAGTATAGATCAGTATTTGGTCGCTGTGATCCCTGAAAACACGCTGCCTCCCAGTTCTTCTACTGGTGATGTCGTCCTGCAGCACCACAGCTGTCACTGTCCCGCAGTTACGCCGGACGTTACACAGCTATTTATGGACATGAATGTGATGGTGTCCACCTTGTGGACCTGAGGATCCATCAGAGAGGAGTTGTTCTGAGTTCATTTGCTGATCTGACATCGTTTTGTTCGCTGTGAGAATGAAATGCCCCTTACACAGCTCACACACACGTCATGCTCCTCCTCTGTGCTCCTCGCAGGCGTGCGCTCACTCACGTGTGTTTATATCTATATGTGACAAAAATATAAGAAACTTTACAGTTTACATTGAAGTGAGGTTGTTTTGAGATGTTATCTTGTTTGATGTGGAAAAACAGTGATGTTGGTGCTATGATGGTCTCTGGGGCCTGAACCAGAGACCATCATAGCACCATCACTGTTTTTTCCACTTTGGAGTAAGCTGTTGGTGGAGAAGCAGTTTTTTTTTTTTTGGTGTTTCCTTGACTGATGAAGCCTTCTGGATGGAAGGTGAAACGTCTCAGCACAACAACAAAAACAAAACCGTCCAGATTGTGCCGCTCAAGGTGGCTGCATGTTGGAGCAGCTCTGTTACTTTCATTCTGACATTTTGCTTTTGGAAACTTTAATTCCTCTTTAGTAAATCATATTTTTTGGATGATTGTTTCCTCTGGTATCAGATGCTGTGCAGCTGGAAGAATTTTTACTGAAACTTTTTTAGTTTTGGACATTTGTTATGATGCGTAACCATGGCAACAAGGCAGTTTTCTACAACCAACAGCTGATTAACATCTCAAAAGCTCAAATAATATCTCAACTGCAGCCCCAAATCTCAAATGAGTTGAAAAGGATGTTCTGTGGATGCATTCTCATCTACCTGCCAGCTGTGCTCAAGTGCCTGACCACTGAGATCCTGGAACTAGCAGGAAACATGGCTCATGACAGCGGAAGGACAGGATTGTCCCTCGGCACCTACGGCTGGCTGTTCACAGCGACGAGGAGTTCGGCAGACTGCTGGGAGGAGTGGCCATCACACTGGGAGGAGTTCTGCCCAGCATCGGGTGGTCCTACAGCTCAGGGGAACTGAGAGGCCAGCTGAGTCTGGGTGGACGGATCGGACAACATCTGCAGCCAGTTTCTTAGGATCCACTGTGGGATGGATGTTTACAAGAGATCCTTCCTGTCTACATCCATCAGTATCTATAACATCTCTTAATGAAATGAGGATCACGAGTTACAACAACATTTTTTATTCAATTTAATTCAAAGTCACCCCTACACTGACTTTTTTGCTGAGGATCCCACGTTCTCGATGCTTAAAGGAAAACTTTTACACCATTAATGCCGTTAATTCAGCAAGTGAGCCAAGTTAGTTAAAGAAATTAAATCCATTTGCTACACAGAATGAATTAAAATGTAGTTTATAGTTTGACCTTTGATAGATATTTAGGAATGTGTTTGTGCAACTCTTTGTTTTATCAACCTACACTTGCCCATGTGTGTCTGTATGTTCCCGTCTGTTAGCAAAATATCTTCTGACCCAGTGGACAGATCTTTGGCACAGCTGATCGACCTTAATAAAAAGTTTTTGTTTTCCTTCATCTTCACTTCTCCTGTCTTCGTGTCAGCATCCGCTGTAAAAATGGGATGAACCACCTGAGGGACAGGATCCCCCACATGGCCGACGGCCTCTGTCAGTTCGCTCATCAGTACAACAACAAGGTCCTCATCTGTAAGGTGAGACAGCATCACCACGGAGCTGTACCTCCTGTTTCCAGGCGTGGTGTTCACGCAGGACTCCTTATTGTATCTGCAGAGGTGTTACGAAGGAGGCAGAGAGGTGATCGTTGTGCCTAAAACATCAGCTTCCTCTGACAACCCGTGGTTTGGACTGGCCAAATACGCCTGGTCTGGGTCAGTAAACACACGCACTCCCTCTACCTGCCTTTCAGCCAGTCTTAACCACCTCCTGTGTGTGTTTTGCCTCCTCTTCTTCAGGTATGTGTTGGAGTGTGCCAGCTGTGGGGTGATCTACCGCAGCAGGCAGTACTGGATGGGCAATCAGGACCCTGAAAGCATCGTGGTGCGTTCTGAGGTCAAACATGTCTGGGAGGATGTGAGTACACCGTTCCTCTTCCACACTCGTATAGATTTGTACTTATTGTTGACTAGTGGTGTCCCGATACTTCAGATCGAAACCACATTTAGTCTGAGCGCTGTCATTTTCTCTTTCACGTCACAACTGAGGGCAAACAATTAAAATAAACGTTGATAGTTTGGAGAGATATTCAGGTCAACACCACTGTTGTTAAATGTATCTCAGACTAGTTGGAACAATATTTGATAAACAATTACTTCAGCTATTAAAACACGACTGTAAAAATACTGTAGGCTGTTTACACAAAGTTTGTTTTCTCAGTCATCCAGGTATATGTTGAATCATGTCATCTGGACTTCGTTTTTTTGTTAAAAAGAAACGTTTCGCCCCTCATCCAAGAGGCTTCGTCAGTCTGAGGCCTAGCCATCTGGTATTACCCAGAAGCCACCCTGACTCTTGTGTTTCAAGCCTGCCTCAGATACCCCTGAAGTCTGGCCTTTTCACTAATGGTTTCAAAAACACAAAGTTTGTTTTCTCAGTCATCCAGGTATATAACAACAAAAAAGGTTGAATCATGTCAT